ATGTTGTGTCCGCCAATAACAAATAAATAAATAAATATTTAAAAAAAAAAAAAAAAAAGTATTCTCTTGGGCTGGGGCTGTGGCTCAGCTGTAGCCCACTTGCCTGGCATGTGTGAGGCACTGGGTTTGATTCTCAGCACCACGTAAAATAAATAAAGGACTATCAACAACTAAAAAATTAAAATTAAAAAAAAAGTATTCTCTTTTTTAAAAAATTGCTTTTATTTTTTAAATACATGACAACGGAATGCAAAAGTATTCTTTTTTATTCTCACAGTTTCCTAATGTAGTAGTCATGTATCACTTGAGAGGGATATGTTCTGGGAAATACTCAGGAAGTTCCATCTGTTGCAAACATCATAGAATGCTTATACAAACTTATACAACTCTAAGTATTATTAGGCCAATATCAACTTACAGAACTCCTGTGGCATATGCAGTCTATCAGTGACTAAAATGTGGTATGTGACACCTCACTATTAATAAAATACCTATGACTAGAAAATTGCCCTGTGTATGCCATTTTTCAGTGATCTCAATAAACTGACATCCAGGTCATGATTTATGTAAAATCACATGACAGCTAAAAGCCTAAACCTTAGAATTCATCTTTGCTCAGGCCCTGATTAGATGTGTCACCTGAAGCAGCTTCAGATTCTTCAGATTCTTTCCTGAACCATCAACTCTACCTCACAGGATGTCTTGAGAGGGACAGCTATTAAGCATCTTGTAGATTTGGTGACAGATCTGTATAGGGTTGTTTAAAAAATGTTACCACTCTGGTTTTGGGGTTGTAGCTCAGTGGTAGAGCACTTGCCTAGCATGAGTGAGGCACTGGGTTCAATCCTCAGCACCACATAAAAATAAATAAATAAAATAAAGGTATTATGTCCATCTACAACTAAAAAATAAAAAAGGAAAAAAAAATGTTACCACTCTGACAAAGAAGCTTTGAAAATAGCAATGACTTCTGCCAGAGTCCTACCATCATAACGTACATTATTAAGTTGTTGATTTAGCCAATCTTAGATCCCCTATAATCAAACTACTTAAATACTATTGATAAGTATTGTACTAATAACTACTTTCTATATAAGTATAAATAAGTAATTTTTGGTTTTCTCCAAAATAATTTGTTTACAAGACATTGGTAAACACTGAAAACTTCATAAAATTTAATAATGTAACTTTATAAATAAAACATCAACATAGAATAGTAGTAAATTTCTTATAGAAAATATAGAAAAAGTTTGATTAAGCTACCTCTTAACATTGAAAACACAATTTATTGCTCAAAATGTAGAAACATGTATACAATTCTCTTTCAGAGCCTTTTTTTGTGGTGTTAGGGATTGAACCCAAGGTCATGAACATGGCAGGCAAGTACTCTACCACTGAACTACATCCCCAGCCTCCAAGTCTCTTGATTTGGAAATCTCTCAGTTCTAATTCCAACGGGTTCATCTTCAAGGAATACCTGATGGTAAAGAATGGGCTCTCTTAAGAGTTCTTGTGTTATTTGGATCTAGTTGAGGTTGCTGAATTGAACAAATGCAGCCCACAGAATTAATAATTTGGACACTTGAATGTACAGGATCATGTAAAAGAGAGAATTCTGATGTTTTAGGCCAGAGGTTTTTGAGTAGAAAATTCTCTTTCATCAGATTTTTGTTTTTATTCTCTTTTGAGGTAGTGTCTTTTTCTTCCAGTGCCCGAGCAAGCATGTAACTAACTTTTCTTTGATGAGCCAGTGCTTCTTCTTTATCATTTAACTGCATGCAGAGAAATTAAAAATATAATGGTTAGTCAATAAGTCAAAATATAATCAGAAAAAGGAGTGTCCATATTTTATCAAAATATTAAACTCTAAATCTGTCCAGTCAATCTGTATAAGTTGTCACCTGATGCCTAAGTATTATGCTACATTTGAGGATTGTTTTCAAAAAGGAAAACAGAAGACAGTATTAGTTTTTTGGTGTTTTTTTTTTTTT